GTGGCAGAGATCTTCCTTGGTATCCTAGCATTGATGGACAAGCGTGCGTCTGGCTGGCCTTCCTTGGGTAATCTCAACGCCTGTATCACAACTCCGCTTCGCTTGGGTAAGTTGGACGCAGCGACGAGGAAATGAGGGCTTAGATAACGGATTGCTCGGAAGGCAGGTCGTTCGCCATGGTCGTCTGGCATAACGTATACCCGCTGTGGTTCGCTGGTCTCTTTGGCGCTGACCTTGACAAGATATAGTTCGTACTTGTAGCAGTAGGCAACTTGAAACTCATTCTCTCCTGTTTGCACAATATCCAAATCCTCGGCCTCCTTATCCAGTTTCAGAACACTTCGTCGTTTTGCTGCAGCACCCGCGGCGTCAAAGATAGCCAATTGGGGCTCCTTGCCCATCGCTGTAGCTGCAGCACCTGTCGTTCCCGCAATGCGCAATAGTCGCTGGTATGTATCGAGGTCGGGGTTTTCGAATAGAGAGGTACGCGCGACCTCTGAGACGTTGGCATCGGGTGTCTTAGCCCCGACGGCAGTGCGCAACTTCGAGGGGTCGACGCTTAGGATTCGGAGGTGTTCATTCTTGCCCTTTGCGATGCTATCTGGGCTGGAGTTGACGCCGGCGTAGATATATGTGGTCTTTCCCTTGTGAGGGCCGACTGCCAGGGACATAACACTGTCTTCATCGCGTGAAAGATTGATCTCTCCAGCTGTTCGGAGTTCTGTCTGAGAAACACTTTCGAGGACAGTCTGCGCATCTCGTTAGTCCATTGCTATGCGCTATTCATCATCTGTAGACCCCGACTTACAATTTTGTTTCCAACACCGGAGCGACCAGCACCACCTCCACCACCTACGACTACTCGGGTCGAATCCTCAGGGTCAAAGTCGACGGCGTAGAGGGGGTAATCGAGCTCGATACTCGAGCGAGGGAATGGTGGGGCCATGGTGGCGACGAGGCAATGCCTCTCTTTTGATATCTTGGTATGTGCGGAGAGAGCAATTGTCTTTAATGAAGCGAAGTTCGTAATGCGCCTGGTCGTGATTGACGTGATGCTGATCGCGGGGTGTTTGGTGTTGAGGTGACGCTGGAGGCCAGATGTCGAGCTTGGAGCTTTGTGGTTGGCCAGGACAGGTCACAGCCACACGTGGCGGCCACATGATGTGGCTTGGCTTATACAACCATCGGACTTGTTTAATATCAAAGAATTTAAATTAACCAGGATTTGTAAATGATATAGTTGTGAGTTAAAACTGCAGACGTAGTATTCGCGTCTTGTTCAGGTATCTGGATGAGTGTGAGGAAGTGACTGATCCTTGTTAGCTCTTGACGGTTTCTGATACTGCTAAACATGCCTACTTAGGCGAGGTTTGATATTCATCAAGCATAAAGTGAGCACGGCCCAGTCATGATAGCCTCCAAGACATTAAGAGTGGTTATGATATGGCTTGAGCGACTGGCTCGTTATTTAGTTATGTGATACTTTCAATGACTTTGAAATCAGCATTTAGGCCAATCGTTGATCAGCTTCTCAGGTTATGTTGTATAGATCGACAAGCTATTGAAATTTGGGATGTGGCTTCAAGTCTTCACCACTCAACCTCTTAGTAGTAATCAATATTGATTAGGCGCAATATAGCATTTTGGTATGCACACTTGATGCGAAGATGAATTGCGCGAGAAGATACAGGACTATTGGCATACTGTAAGCCGGGAACCTATGAATGTTACATGAACAACTCCAAGGTGTACATCTATAAACCAAAAGAACCATGGCACAGCAATCAGCAAGACATGGCATGGGAATCCTGGAAGTTCATGTCCGCATATCATGCATGTCACAGTGGCATTGAGTACAATTTGATTATACGAGAATGATGCCGTTCCCTACCCAGTGGCGAGAAAGCCTGATGCCAAGGTCCTCATTATAGAAGGTGATTCAGTTCGAGTTCCCGTATTCAGACACGGTCAATGGGAATAAGCATCACAACGAGGCATAAGTCCAGGGCAGTTCCTCGATTGGCTGATCACAATGACTCGGAACATTCAGCATGCGGCGTCAAGTAAACAGCCATCCCATTTCGCTTTACCCCTTGTGCCAGACCAGATGAGGAACAAGCAGGTTACTCTTAGAAAGGAATCTCCGCCTGTTCTCTGATTTTGCTGCTTTATTAGCGTTGTTCTCGCAGCCATAGATGCGGTGTCAGTTGACTGCGACTAGCTACAAGCCTTCCTTGCGTTGTGCATGTAAGTGACATGTCAACGACGGACCGTAGATTGTGAAGCAGAGAAAAAAGAAAGAAGACAAGAAAAGGAACATGAATACATATGTAAGCAATCTTTGCATACGAGGCCTCCCTTTGTAATTAATTGATGAGGTATTGATGTCATCGGGCAATCAAAATCCTCTATAGCCTAGACTAGGGGGTGTTGGCGCATTTGGCTCTCCTAAGGTGCGCTGCGCCCTTTTGCCGAAGCTTACTTAGTATGCAGAGTGAGTGAGTACCTAGCCCTCGGCGTGGGGTCAACTACCTGGCGTCACAGTATACAACACAGTCCCAAATACCTAATATGCACTGTAATTTTCCGCATGTGATAAATTGTATCCGTAATCTCTCCACATCTCTCTTTCGGCATAAATCAACTGTTCTTCGCTCACTTGATATGATGAGCACTCGGCATTAGAGAGCACTTGCTGCCTTTCAGTTCGGTTACTACACTTGAACATGATGCATCCATGAACTGACTCCGTTTTCCAGCCAGACAAGAAAGCAATACACAATCATCGCAGCCACCGTATTCGGGCATGATGAAGGCACCTAAACTCGCAGAATCAACCATGTTACAACTTACAATAAACCCAGATACACCTACTCTGTACAGTATCTCTTGGTTCTTTTGTGTGTCCAAGTGTGTCCAAGGTACCTGGACTATAACGCACAGTGCGGACCGAGATGGTGTTGGTGACTGCCAGGATGATGCTGGGAATACAGGCAGGAAATCAGATTCTTGTTCAGCTAAAGCAGATGACATGATCCGATAACGCGGGATAGCGCGATCACAGTGTGGGGGCCGGGGTTACGTACCTAAAAGTATGTTACTGTATGTTTCGATGAAGATCAACTCTATCACCGATTATCGAGTATCAGACACAGAACCGAGATTACAGTAGGATCCTACCTTGGGTACATACTTACTTTAGAGATTGGGCACTGAGTGATACCCAATCCAAATACTGTAGGTGCCCAATTGTATACGTACTCTCTCCCTCTCTCACTACCACAATCTTGTAAAAGTGCGACTAATAACAACCCCTGCTTGAAGAAGTGTGATCTAATGTGAATCACCACCATCCCAATGCACATAATATGAAAAAATAGGAAACTAATGTGCCTTAGCCGCTAGCCGCCAATGCCAAAAAAGTCAAACCCTTTTTACTCGTTGCACCCCTGGCCAAGATCCGAGATTGGAGGATGTGACGACAGTAGACCACACACACTGTAACACGACCAGAGAGAAGAAAAACCAAGCACATGCATGCTGTACCGTATGTAACACGTATGCACGTAGTGTAGCTGCATGTATGCATGTATGTACTGTAGCACCCCTGCCCCTGGGAACATTCCCGTTGGTTTAACTGCCGCTAACTTCGGAGTATGCAACAGCCGTCACAGACAGCACCAACGCCATATGTTTGCATGAGGTGTCTTTGACCGTTGTCCACTACTTAAGGTAAGGCGAGTCAGAGAGGGGGGAGGGAGACAACAAAAGAGACCATCAAGTGTTTCGGACACGTCACTTGGGTATCCTGGCAGAAGAAATCTCTTACGTAGTATCCGTATGACAATAACGCTTCACTATCATTCTCACATAGGTTGTTGTCTCTGTTCTCGATGATACCTAATTGTAACCTGCTTGTATTAGCCGTAGCATCTAAATTAATAGCAAAACCACCCTCACAGACACTAGATACCATGGTATTATTAAGTACAAGAAATACTTCTTGCATAGACTCTTATTTCTAGTGTTGCTCACTCTATCCTATACTATGTAACTCAAGAGCTTTTCGATCCATAGAAAGATCCGGGGTATCAGGTAACACTCACCAAAGCACTCTCCCATATAACAAAGGAAAGCCAAAGAGCCGAGAGAACTCCTGCCTTATCCCAAACCACTTCCCGCTAGATAAATATTGGATACAAAGCTAAATTCACAATTCCAATCTGGTATCAAATGAGTTGCCAACAAAACAAACCCGAAAACACAATAGCTAAACCATTCATAAAACACAAAGGAAACAACAAAATGAAAATGGGTCCTGGTCGATACTCGCACCCATGCCACTACTGAAGACATTGGTTTGAGCTGCCAGTCCCAAATAACCGTAATTCAAGGTATCCCTCTGCCGCGCGCTTTCGTAAAGCGCAGCTGCCTGTAGTTGTTTATCAAGTATACCATCGCCTTCGAGACGATGTACTGTTTGAGGAGCAAAGGCTCCAGGGGTATCCGGTCGCAGACGGGTCCAGCCTCATAACCCAGCGCAAGACAACTGGAACTTGGAGCAAATAGAAGGGAGTTAAAAAAGACAAGAACCTTTGGCCTAGGCGGCTACCTTGATATCTCAGTTCGCCCCATGTTCTAAGAAGTAACACGGAATGAAAGGGTGAAAACATGTCCATAGTACAGAGATACACGCTTACACCAACACGACCGTTATGAGAGCACTCCGTGCATGCAAACAATGCTCAACTTAAACAACAGGAAACATGCAATCAAAACGGAGAACAAGGAAACAAGATAAGACAAGACAACATTACAAGTTGCGATAAATTCGTCGGTTGCCCAACAGATGCGTCTTCCAAAAGTCCCACCCGCGAGTCACCAAAACCATGCCAAAAACCTGACCACTCCGATATTATATAATAGATGAGAACACTGGTCTCCATAACTGTATTGCGTAATCACACGCTTGCAAATCTCAAATCTCAAGTCCCATCGCATTAAGGCCTGCGGTGAGTGTCCCTTGTTGCCCACCCAGTCTCTGGAACTCGAGGCTGAACGGGAATCCACTGACCAGTTCGCGGATCCTGCTCTTGAACACCTGGGCCGGGGGGTGGGCCAGTAGGAGGTCGACCTTCCATTACTCTCAGGGGCGGTAGCCTCTCGCCGCTTGCTGAGGATGCCGCAGATGATGGCCGTGATGGCCCGCCATAACCTGACATGGGCATCGGAGGTAGCCCACTGGGAGATGCGCTCGGGTGCCCACTCGCAGGGGACCCGTATGGTGGTAGTGAGTATTCAGGATGGTCATCGGTTCGACGGCGTTGGGCTGGTCTTTCGTTCGATAGTGCTTCTCCATAACTCATGGATCCAGATGGCCCTGATGCCAACGACCCGGTCTCTGCATAAGAATTGCTTGTCGAAATAGTAGGACTAGGAGGTCCGGCAGCAAGGCCACTTATTGATGGCGTTTGTGCGACAATGTCTCGTAAACGGTTACGGTCTTCACGGTAGAAGTCCCGTTGTTGAATCAGCTCCTCGATCCTTATTTCCATAAGACGCCTTTCATCCCGAAGCTCTTGTAGTTGTTTTGAATTCTCCTCCTGCATAATCTTCTTCTTCCTCCTATGCCTTGTTGAAGCCACTGCGTTTCTCTGTCTCTTCTCGTCAGCTTTCTTGGACGCTTGCGAAAAATCCATATGAACAGGGATAGGTGCCTCGCTTCCCGGAAGTGCCAATAAAGCTTGCTGTCCCTCAACGCCAAAAAGGGACCCTCCCATCCCATGTCTTCGTAGTGTTTCCGACCACGGCGAGGCAGACTCGCTTGGGGGGCCTGGGCTGAGGAAAGGCCGACCAGCCTGCATGTTAGGAGAATATGAAGTTTGCGAGTGTACCAGAGGTGGTTGCGGACGACCCGGCGCATGGCTGGGGGGGAAAGCAGAGAGGGGAGCTTGCGTTCCAGGAGAAGCGACCGGCGGCTGCGAGTGCAACCTACCAGGATCCGACATCGCTGAGGGAGGACCAGTGGGTGCTCCAGTTAGAGGATGTAGATGGGGATATTGAGTTCTGGTGTCTTCCGGCGTTATATCCTCGAAGGGTCGCTTAGCAGATGAAAAGCCATGTAAAGACTGTCGCCCATCAGATTCACGAGATGGCACATGGCTAACACTTATGGCTCGAGGATGTTGTGTCGGGCTAGCTTTTGGTCTTGCACTATTTACGGCAGGGAATGGGAAAGCCGTTGTTGGGGAATTGCGTCCTGATGAAGGTCCTCCGAGAGGTGTCATCGGCCCTAAAGGTGTACCTGGAAGAGAAATCGACGCAGGTTGGGCGGGTGGGAAAGCTCGTGCGCCAGCAAAAGGTCCAGGTATTGAGCCAGCTGCCTGGCCTGGTGTCGTGGATTCAGAAGGACGAGCTGCTGGAGGAAGATGGCTACTACCCCCTGAAGCTAGTAGTCGTGGCTCCATAGGGTTGAGTATATTATGGACACCAAGGGTCTTTTGGGGGACCTGCTGTAATCTTTCCTCGCCATTTGTATAGGGAACATTGCTCACATCTTGGCGCAGATCGCGGTCACCGAGCTGCCTGTGTCGAACTGAGGAAGGCGAGACTTGGTCATCTCCCAAGGGGGACCTCGAAGAACGGCGTGACGCATGTTGAGATGCTGGTCCAGTATGCGACATTGAGACCAGACCGCCTGTGCACACCTGGCCACGAGGGCCGGCACATCGACCCTCCCCGAGCCTGGCTAAAGATGGTAGTTTATTGTCTTGACTGGCAGTTGGTTTCGATAGAGAAAAGTCTCTAGAAGGCCAAGTTGGTGTCGATGGTGTCCGTGGAGAGTTAGGCGATGCGCCGGTAGAATCTGTTGCGGCAGATCCGGGTCTGCTCTGAGATGGTTGTGCCTGCGACCACAGGCTTGTTGATTGAATCGCCAGATTGGATGAGTTGTTGTTGCGGACGGGATGGGAAGCTAACCCAAACAGTCCTCTCTTGAAGCAATACTAAGGCAGACTCTTCAGAGCTTCAGAGGGGAAGCAAGTGAGTCGTAATGTTATAAGAGTTCTACGGATCCTCTTATAACCAGCACTCTTGCGCAAACCGAGCTAGAACGGGGGGGATGGTATTGAGGAATAGTAAATCAATAAGTCAACCGGGTTGTAATCAGCAACAAGTCCCTGACCATGAACCGCACGATGCGATGTCTGAACTTCAGCTTGATCCAAGGGAAGGCAACTTAGCTCACTTGCAAATAGATTGCAGGTGAAGATGAACCGCGCAAGTGTGGTTGCCGAAAAGCCAGTACTGGGAGCAGGGATATATCAATGGTACAGGCCTGCCAGCAAATCATACACCTCAAAGACAAATTCCCGTTCTGAATGGCCGATGCTGTGTGGCTATGGATGGAGCCAAGGTCTCAAGCAATCCTCTCGCCTTGCAATTCCAATTATTGGCTCTGCTGTACTGTACTTGGTCGCCCACGTCACCTCTTTCTGGAGAGGATCTTGCAGCCGCTTGAGATGAAATGCAAAGAGTTGGAACAGATGCAGACGGTAGTTTCGTGACTTAAACAACGACGAAGAACAAGCCTTGTTGGTGGATGGGAAGACTGTTAGCGAGCTGTATAGTCTGGTATCGTAAGGCTGTAAAAATGAAAAGAGGAAAAAGAGTAACGAAGATGAAGGAAGAACAGAGCTGTGTCAGGCACAGGGAAGCTCTAGTGATGTAAGATGTCTGTCCGGCACCAGCAAGAGAAAACATCTAGGTACGAGAAGCGAGTCTGTCCCAGGATGGAGCTATTGTAATCCAGGGCCACACTGTGTAGTATTCTTTATTTGCTCTGGTACGAACCATGTAAGCCTTGAGCTGCTCCTGGTACGGCGACAAGCCCTTATCAAGCCCCAGAACTGGGCCGGGCATCCAAAGTAGAAGTCCCGCAATGGCCAAGGTCAACACATTAGCGAAAGAAGCCGTGCTTAGCTTCTGAGACTAAGCTGGGGTTTAGAGCTAGGGCCCAACAGTGACCAAGCTAGCCAAGCTCTCTGTCAAGGTGATGAGATGAATGGTGCTAATGCCGGGGAGCGTTTTGACCAGGGGTCATGAAGACTAAGAGTAGTGTGTACGTACCAAGACTCCACGGCGTCAGGTCCTCAGCAAGGCTTAGGAGACTGGGGGTCCCTAAAGACGGGGAGCTGCCGGTAGCTTTGCCGTCATGTCATTTTTTTTTTTTTTTTTTTTTTCAATCCTTCGTTGTCTCTGTCAACGTAGTCGGTGTGGTCTACAACCGAATTGAGCTCAATTCAAGCTTTTCTCGGACCTTAATACTTGCCACTGGCGACATATGGAAGGGTAAGCATACACCAATAGAGTTAATATCGTTACTGCAGGGCTCAATGGTCACAGAACGGAAGCATACGAGGCCACCAAGGCTGTGAAAAGAGGCAGGCCTCAGTTGAAAAATTCCGGATGCTTCGCATCATCCCAAGGCAAAGGAAGCTAAACTGAACTCGCTGGACACCGCCATCAGTCTACGGATAGTTAGCTCAGAAATTGGCTGGCGGGCTAGCAACCCAAGCATCCGGAGACCAAGGGAAGCTAGAGCGGTCAACGGGAATGCCATGTGTACGTATCCGCAGTATGTGCGGTAGCCGTGGGCACGGTTGTGGTTGTGATATTCCGATCAGAGCACTGCATCGATCCCGTGCAAGATCAACTGCGGCCCGTCTATACCCAAGCCCAAGCGCCATCAGTACATTCTATAGGTATCTTGCTTCCTCAAGTTTTGGTCGAGTTATAGATGCATATACATGCCAGGAGACACAGCTGACATCAAGTGAATGACGGGAGGACAAGGTCTCATTGCCAGTCCTGGTGGGCGACTAGATGATGCACGAAGTGGACCATGGATCTGCTGTAAGTCAGTCTGAAGAAGAGATTCTTGGCCAAGATAAAGTCGTAGTACATAGACGCGGTAACAGTAACGCGTCTTGTGTAAAACCAAAAAGCAACACTAGGCATGAGCTTGCAGAGCAGAAGAGAAAAGAGACGACAAGGACCAGCCCACTTGTACAGATACCGCTATACTAGCCAAGATACAGTACATAGGTACAGTACGCATGGTAGAGCTGAGAATGAGATGGGACAAAGAAACAAAAGATCGTCGTTGCGCCCCGTGTCCGTGGTTTTGGGTGGTGCGGACCTTGGTCTAACTGACCCTGGCTAGTCGTTGCAAGGTCCTGGTTCCTTGAGCGGTTGATTGCGTTCTGATTAACTGGTGTTACATTAGTTGATATGTTTTCTTTTCTTTTTTTTTCTCATGATCCAAAGCCAGAGAGTGCGCAAAATGCAAACTGTAGACTATCCACGGAGTTCGTGCTGATGGGGGCAAGCCTCGCAGGCCTCGAATGCGATGCGAATGTTGCAAGCTCGCATATACAGTAGATCATTGTCGTTCATGATGACATGGCATTGCATAGAGGGTCCCCCACCAAAACCCAACCCGGAAAAATAGAGAGCCATGAGTTCACACAAGACAGCACTCACTTGCATTGTCTTGCCCTGAGATGTGTGACTGAGACACAAAAGAGACGTTGGAAGCCAAGGTAGGGCAGGGCTGCAGATGGAGGCAAGGCCGTACCGTACGTATTCTTGGAGACACCCCTTGAGGTGAAAGAAGAGGAGTCAACTCAGAGTTGAATAATTTGCCGTTCCATATTGATAATGATGATGGTATCAAAAGCGAAAACCCTCATCTGCCAAAGAATAAATCAACAACAACTGATGTGAGATTGGCAAGAAAAGCAAATCGTCAATCAGGAGCCTGGTCATTCCATTATTCAAATTTCTGACGGAGCTCAAAGTCATCTAAGGTAATGGAACGAACCCGTTAGGGTAGGCAGCTCGTCTATAGCCGCTGTCTACTAAATTGGTAGTCACGCAAGAGCAGCGGGAGCAAGTGAACCTGTGCGTACCTTAGTACAGTACAGGCATCAATGAAATGAGAAGTGCAGGCAGGTGCGTGCCGTAATTAGCAATTCCCTTCAACATCACCCACCTCAATATCTACCTTGCCTTGCATTCAATCATGGAAAACCCTTTCCGAGCGTCTCAATCATTATACCCAGCCAACTTCAAACTCCAACTCCAACTCCAACTCTTCTAGCTCAAACTTGCACACACATCTCACGCCACAACATGCCATGCCATGCACAAATTTTCGTGCGGAAAGGCGGAAAGCCCATGAACTTATTATTGTGGCTGTCTATTTCTACGATGAACACTCCAACGCGGTGTTGTTGGCATCGCCAATACTGGTCCCAACACGCATTTCATGTCTTGACAGAGAATAACCCGTCCAGGGCCCTTTTCCTCTTCTGAACGTCCTTTATAGGATACTTCAAAGATGACGTTCATTGCTATGGGTGCTTTCACTTTCGTTCATGGCAGAGGACAAGTGAAGTTCTTGACGTTTGTTGACCGTTCTGTTCTCTCGATATTCTTCCCCCGAAACCCCTGGAGCGTTGATATACGGTACATTGACCGAGGGGTGAGTGTGGGTGTGGGTGTGGGTGTGGGTGCAACGAATGGCAATCCGCACGACGACAGCATTCTTGACGGGTCACGGTGAATTGCATAACCAGGGGACTCTACCGGGGAAGGGGTCCTGGTCCAGCCAGAGCTGCAAGGCCCGCCAGCGTGCAGATGCAACCATCCATGACAGTTGTCTCTAATGGAGAGGACCAATGTGCATTGAGTGGATGTCGGAGCTCTTACGAGCACAGGCGCGCGTACCGGGGCAATGGTTGGAGTCTAGCAAGCTTTCACGATCAGACGCGACATTACGTACCTATCGATAATGTCACGCGCAGGATGGGCGGATTAGATCGTGCCGCAGTAACGAATGCTAGGTTATCACTACCAGTCACCCACGAGCTTAAGCCACTCTTTCAGCGCTGCCGCGGCAAAACAAACTTGTGAACCATCAGACAATTCAGAGTGCCTATCCCCTCGCCCACAAGTTCAAGACCACCAAATGAAGCGCTAGCGTGCACCACTCACTCTATCATCCATTGAGCGGTTATGAAAATGGATAAAAAGCAAACAATCAGAGTTATTGACATGGCTGCCTCTGGCTTTTCCTAGCTGATCTTAGATTGGCATACCTCGCACAGATGCGTACGGCCCAGGGGTGGTGTGACGTCGCTGTGATTGTGCAATGGTGATTTATTTCAGACTCCCCAGGAAATGAATCCGCCGCAAAAGCGAAATGAGGTGGACTAAACGTCAATATTGTTGGATGACGGGTGACTTGAAACGCTTTCACATCACTCAGCAAGTTCTATTCAGCGGCACGGGGCGTGTTTAGTGTTTGGCATCGTTTGAATGCCGTGGGCCAAGGCGACCCGACCAAAGCCAAAAACGCTGGTTCAATTCTTGCTACATCAGTTTGATCCTTCAGCCTGGCTATTGCAAAGAGCTTATACTTACCATTCTGGGCGTGATTCTTATTTCCCTTCGTTTTCATGACCATATCCACGCACCACAACAACCCGACGACACTATAACAACTTCAAATTTGATTATAGTGTCGATAATGGTGGGGGTGAGATATCGTTGAAAGGATAGCCGAAAGCCTTGATTATCAACAAGACGCAAAAGGTTTATGAGGTGGCGGTCTCATCAG